TGTATACAGAACACCTCCAGGTCACCATATTGCATTTTACAGAGAATTACAGAACTACAGATTGAAAAGGAAAGGTCATTATTAAGAACATTCAATTACAATATGACTTGAATAACAACTGAATATGCTTTTTTTTCTTGCTCATTTTTTCCTTTACAAAACTGGAGTTACCCTTCAAGAAATGAAAACAATGTGGTGTGCTATCTCATCATAAATAGAACCATAAGCTTTAGAAACACAAAGTGACAGTCCAAGGACATTTATTTCCAATATTAAACTTAAATTAAAAAAAAAAAATAAATTCTTGGACTGTCACTTTGTGTTTCTAAGTCCTCATGCACACTTGACGTTTTTACAGCGGCTGTTTTTGGCTTTTGACGTTTTTTTCTACAGCCAGTAACCCCCCAGCATGTTATCCTAGGTGTCCATACACACATAGACTGTAATCAGTGTTTTTTGGCTGGAAAAAAAACCCAGGACTAGTGGGACTCTAGGGGAGATTTTTAGCTGTAAAAAAGCTCTAACGCTGAAAAAACACAGCAAACCGCGGTAAAACGCAGCAAACCGGTGTTTTTGGCCTTTTTTTTTACCAAAAAAACGCTAAAAACACAAATGTGGAAAAACGCTGTTAAACGCTAATAAAAATTATATTATATATTATACTAACCTTGATGGAGTCTAAATGAATCAACCATCTGATGAATGAATATTATCTGGATTGATCGGTTTGCTGATGAATCTTCCACATCTACTGATGTTTGATTGAAATGCTGATTAACCCCTTCCTGCCGGCGCCCTCCCGGCCCTTTAAGAGTTTCAGAAGCCGGGAGGCGGGACGGACAGGGCGGGGTGGGGTTTAGGGATCATGTGGCCGCCGTGGCGCATCATCACGGCGGTCACATGATCGGGAAAGGTCCTGATTGAAAGAGCAGACCGGGACCTTTCCGTGAGTACCGGACATGTGTGCTGGGAGCGCGCAGGGTGCGCGCTCTCACCACATATGTTTTTTGTTAATTGCACGCAAATGTGCGGCCCGCTCGGCGTCTAGGTTCAGACGCCGGGAGGGCGCACATTTGTGTGTGGGCCGCTGTGAAGAGGTTAAACACCAGCATCTGGTGAGTTAGCACTTTGATTTGGTGTTGAGCACAAAGGAATTCACGGTTGTAGCAAATATATTTTTTTTTAAGAAAATTATATATGGACTAAACTTTATTATGGACTTATTATTTTTGATGTCTCACATTTTTTGCACATATAACTTTTTTTTGGTGGCAGTTTTTTATTTATTTATATATCGATTTATTTATTTTGTTTATATTTATATATTAATTAAGGGCATATATAGTTTTGAGAGCGCTGCTTATGGTATTTCCATTTATTTATATACTTTTTTATTTGTTTAAAACAGCACCTCTAATCACACATTTGATGAATAGGAATTTGATTCTTAGTGTATCGCGTCAGTTTGGCACGGTGATATGTGCTATTAATTGATTGATCTAACAATTTGTCAATTTATTTAATATATTGATATCTATTTTATTCTAGCCTATATACATAGTTCAAAAACGCTAAAAAAAAACTCTGCTTTTAACATGACTTTACACAGCTATCATTACCAGCATTATCAAAACGCCCGGTGCAGGGGTGGACTGACCATTTGAAAACTTGGGCACTGCCCAAGGGCCCGGGGTCAGTAGGGGGCCCCATGAGATGCCCCTGGTACCTTTTTGATAGGCTTTTTTGAGTTTGGGCAAGGACACAGGGGCCCCATGATCCCCTATTGCCTGGGGGCCCCATGAGTTGTCAGTCCACCCCTGGCCCCGTGTGCATGAGGACAAAAGTTTATGGTTCTATTTATGATGAGATGGCGCACCACGTTTTTCATTTATTTAATTTTGAGTACACCAGAGTAGTGAGTGCAGCAATCTTCTTCCCTGATGTTATCACTGTAGTTGGAACATAGCAGCGCATAGGTCTTTACCGTTTACATTACCCTTCAAGAACATTCGTTCACTTTTCTAATTGTTGGAGGTGTCAAATTGATGTTTGTTTTTACTTCAGTGATGAGAAAAATGTCAAGAAGCAGGATGGAAATTTTTTTCTCTCAAAATTTCTAGCAGTGTATGGGGCTTTCATTGGGGAAAAATCCATTCACTCCAAAATCAAATGTTAAAAGAAAGCTAAATTTTGCAATACTTTCAAACAACATTTGTAAGTTATCGAATGTGCTGAGAATTTTGATACAAATGTTTGTTGGAAGTTCTGCCAGTGTATGGCCGGCATACACGTGCCGATATGACCATACAACTGATCAGGGGTGGACTGACCATTTGGAAACTCGGGCACTGCCTGAGGGCCCGGGGTCAGTAAAGGGCCCCATAAGATGCCCCTGGTATCTTTTTCATAGGCTTTTTTGAGTTTGGGCAAGGACACAGGGGCCCCATGATCCCCTATTGCCCGGGGGCCCCATGAGTTGTCAGTCCGCTCCTGCAACTGATCAATCCTTGCATCTACAATGATTACATGCAATAAAATTGCAAATCACAGATCTTCCATTTGTTTGATTTAGTGAGCTCTGGATGAATTCAGACTCTGCGAAGACGATCATATATATTTATAATTACTAAAATATTAAGTAGATTGAAAAGTGCAGAACAAATACCATGGGGTCTATTTATAAAAAAAATTTTTTAAAATCTGCTTTACGAATGTTCAAGCATTCACACAGCCAGCATGAATATTCACCATATTGTGTGCAATACATTTATTTCCTATGATCTACAGCCAGTGGCGTCCCTAGGTGGGTGCGGGGTGTGTGCGCCGGGTGACACCTATCGCACGGGGGTGACACCAAAATTAAAAAACAGCAGAAATTATATTTGTGTTTCGGTTGGCTGGACCCTCTCCACAAGCTTTTGCAAGGCAGTGGCACCAAATTCTGGATTGATCATTCATTCCAAATTAATAATAAGTGCCGGGATTAAGGAACAGGAAGGAACTGGCAGTTGCGAACTGCGCATGTGATCGAATCTAACGTCGTCGGAGGCTCAGAGTCAGAGCCAATCAGCTTCACTGAAGTTTGCAGCTTGAAGACCAGAAAGAGAAAGTTTTAAAGCAAACCGACGATCCCCGCAAGATGGATTGGATCTGCGGATTGGAGAGCATAATGGATCGTAGACCAATCCATTATGCTCTCCAATCTGCAGATCTCATCCATCTTGCGGGGATCGCCAGCTTGCAACCTATACTACAGGACCAGTCAGTTAACCCCAACTGATCTTGCAACACCGGTCTAGGGGTGCGATGGGGACACAGGGAGGGGAACAGCCAGCCAGGCTGTGTGTGCACGACAGGGACCCCCCACCTCTGGAGAGGTGACACCAAGTGTTACCGCACCGGGTGACACCAACCCTAGGGACGCCCCTGTCTGCAGCTTCATCTAGTGGCCTTAAAGTGGAATTTTTCTAATTAGTGCATTTCAGGAAAATACTGCATTATGACCCCCTTGTTTACATTTATTAGTTAATTTCCTGTAGCATTCCCTGGAAGTTACATTGTATCTCTTGTTACAACAACATATGTATTTCCTATGCTGCACAGCGCCATGCACTGATGATAATGTGGTATCTTCCTATTTGAGGCATTTCAGGAAACTACTGCATTATGGTCACTATTATTTACATTCATTTACTAATTTCCTGTAGCATTCTCTGAAAATGTTACACTGGGGAGGATTTACTAAAATGAGTGCACACAGAATCTGGTCCGGCTCTGCATAGTAACCAATCAGCTTCTAAGTTCTATTGTCAATGCTTAAAGCGGAGCTCCACCCAAAAGGGGAATTTCCGCTTTAAGGACTGCTCCCCTGCTCCCCATTAAGGATTGGCACCTTTGGGGAGCGGATACCCGAATTTGATAGGTACCCACTCCCACTTCCGGTCTGATCGCAATTGGAAACATAAGGTGTCCTCCCTCCCTCCCTCCCTGTAGTCTTTTGGGACACGTGACAGGTCCCAGAAGACTACAGTGCCATTGAGGAAGCGCAGCACTTCTGGCGCATGCACAGTGGATACCCCGCTGTGAAGCCGCAAGCTGTCACAGCCGGGTGCCCACACTGAAGATGGCGGCACCAGGGAGAGAAGACAGCCGGTGAAACCAGCTGTGGTGAGGACACCGCCGGACCGAGGGACAGGTAAGTGGCTGTATTTTAAAAGTCAGCAGCTACAGTTTTTGTAGCTGCTGACTTTAATTATTTGACAGCGTGAGTGTTACTAAACCCGCAACAGTGAAATCAGTCTGTATATGCAGGAAAAAACTGCATTATGGCCACCAGTGGTGGCCATAATGCAGTATTTTCCTGAAATGCCTCAATTATAAAAACACTACATTATGGTCACTTGATGGCGCTGTGGAGCCTAGGAAATACATATGTTTTTTGTAACAAGAGATACAGTGAGGGGGATGTACTAAAAATGCAGCACACAGAACAAGGTGATGCTCTGCATAGTAATCAACCAGCCAATACATACATTTTTGTAACAAGAGATACACTGTATTTCCTATGCTCCCCTGCCCCATCTAGTGGCCATACTGAGGTATTTTACTACTGCATGATGATAAAAGAACATTCAGTCAGAAGGGAAAATGGCTGACAGAACATTCGTTTTTTTCCTAATTCGGACAGAATGAATGTAGAAGTAGATTCCCTGGATGAATGTCTATGCAGATTATTTATAAATAGGCCCCTTGTTCTAAATGGCTGGTATATAGAACAGAAGGCACAGGAAACAATGACAAATGGAAACGCTATTTGCAATCAGAAGTCTTGGCGCAACCCATGTCTGGTAAAACATTTTCAGTTTCCGGGGCCAGAAGTAGAAATAAAACCCAGGTTTGCATCAGGTCTCACCAGGTTTCTGCTCACAGCTATAAAACATCTGCAGCCTAAATAAAGTTGTGTGACTTTGAATAGTCGAATAAAAACAGAGGCAACTCACATTCCTTCTCTCCGGCAGCACATGATGTAGCCGAGGATGGCAAACAGCACCAGAGCCACGGCAGAAGGCACAGCCAGGGTGATGAGGAAGTCTACATAGTAAAATCCCGGGCCTTCAGGGACTCTGATGGTGGCTTATACTCCCCGACGTCCGGCAAGATCCCTTCTCCGCGCACCACTTCCTGCGTGATCACCACTTGTTTTGTTCTGTCCACCTGGAACGCACAAACATTAATTCATGTGCATTTCCCACAGTAGAAATACAGAATTCTATAGACTGAGGGCCAGTTCACACTACATGCGTTTCACCGCTTTATGGTCACTTGATGGCGCTGCGGAGCCTAGGAAATACATATGTTTTTGTAACAAGAGATACAGTGGGGAACATGTACTAAACTTGGAGCACACAGAATCTGGTGCGGCTGTGTATGGTAATCAGTCGCTTCTAACTTCAGCTTGTTCAATTAAACTTTGACAATAATGCAGTCCATAGATGGGGAGAAAACTAGCCGATTTTTCTTTAAAAAACAAAAAAAAAAAATTGGTCGTTCAAGCGGCCGACGTTACCGGGAATGGTAAAAAAAAAAAAAAAAAAAAAAATCGGCCGATTTTCATCCCGTCTACAGCCGGCAAAAAGTGTCCCTGCAGAGAGCTCCGCTATTTCTTTGACAGTTCTTTGACATTTATAGTGGCTGCAACAATGTATCTATTTGTATCCATTTTGGATACAGATGTTTTTATTCGGAAACAAATAGATACATTGTTGCAGCCGCTATAAATGTCAAAGAACTGTCAAAGAAATAGCGGAGCTCTCTGCAGGGACACTTTTTGCTGGACTGGAATTCTTCTTCATCTTCCTCATCCTCTTCGTCCTCTTCTTCGTCCTCTTCTTCTTTCATCTTCTTTCGTCCTCTTCTTCGTCCTCTTCTTCTTCTTCTTCATCCTCCTCTTCTTTCATCCTCCTCCTCTTCTTCATCCTCCTCCTCTTCTTCATCCTCCTCTTCTTCATCCTCCTCTTCTTCATCCTCCTCCTCTTCATCCTCCTCTTCTTCATCTTCATCATCCTCTTCTTCATCCCCTCTTCTTCATCATCCTCTTCTTCATCATCATCTTCTTCTTCATCATCCTCTTCTTCTTCATCATCCTCTTCTTTTTTTTTCTTCTTCTTTTTGTCTTCCTCTTGCAGGTCACTGCTCATGCGCAGATTTTTTATCGGTAAAAAGATCGGCCGATTTGCCCATCATTGCCGCGAAAATCAAGCAAAATCGGCCGATCTTTTTCCAACTTTACCGATAAATCTGCCAAAATACCGAAAAATGTCCGAACAATTAACCCACTAACGATCCGAAATCGGCCGATTATATTTTCGGCCGAAAAATCAGCTGATTTTCGACCCATCTATGGCCTGCATAAGGCTACGTTCACACTAGCGTTGTCAGCAGGCGGCAGACAGGCGTTTGGGAAGCATTTTTACCGCTTTCCAAACGCCTCTGAAAATTCTGCACATTGCAGTACACAGTGCTGTTCATACGGAAGCATTAGCGTTGTGTCGCGGCAAAACGGACGCCTCTGGTCGAGTCAGGAGGAGTTGAAGCCTCCCATTCAAGTCTATGGTGCCACTCCGCAAACGCCTGTCCGGCATTTGCGGTGCGGTTGCGACGTGTTTGCGGGGCGTTTGCGGAGCGTTAACACCATTTAAACTTCATTATAGGCGTTTGTGGGGCATTTTTAATGCTTGGCAAAAGCCTACCAGCCACCGCAAAACCGCGCATATGGCGTTTTTGTAGCATTTGCAGAGCGTTAAAAATGCTTCACAAACGCCGGTCTAACGCTTGTCAAACGTTATAGGGGCGTTTGGCAAGAGTTAGAAAAAAAGTCAAGTGTGAACATGCCTTAAAGGCCAGTTCACACTACATGCGTTTCAGTTGTTTTTTTTTTCTGCATGCAAAACACACAGAGAGTAGGTTATATGGTTGTCAGTGTCATAGTTCACATCAGTGCTTGCAGTTCCAGTGTGTTCCGGTTGCAGAAGAAAAAGTAGAACAGGCTTCAATTTTTTTTGCACCAAAAACACACTGGAACGCACATGTCCCTATTTAAATTGAATAAAAAAAGAGGGGAAAAGTAAATCGAATGCAAAAAAAATGGTCCAGGAAGACAAGAGAAGAGGTGCATTTCTCTTCACAGCACTGTAACGCATCAAAAATGTCCATGCGGAAACACATTTGGAACGCATCCAGACTTCGTTTCTATAGTGTGAACCAGCCCTAAGGTCAGTTCACATCTATGCAGGTTGCGTTTGAGCCATTTCTGTATTGCGTTTTGTGTTTTTGCGCTTTGTGGTTTTTTTTTTTTTTGTTGCTAGGCAGATTTGCAGATGTGTTCAAAGAAGTCCCTGACCCTTTCCAAAAAACGCACCGGTTAAAAACGCACAGGTGTGAACATGTCCCATAGGAAATCATGTTAAATGGACTGTAGTGCGTCTCTGCAAAATGGTGTGAACC